TGCACTGAATGATTCTAAATTACACCTTGTTTGCTCCAAACCTGCTCCAACACACATTTCCTCCTACTCCAAATCGTAAACTGGCTGGATCACCACCGTGACCAATATGACAAGACAGAATGAAACTCACTTGAGAAAATCGTGAATATGATGTAGCAGAAGCTGGACACTCGTCTCGTCCAGCGGGGTATAAGCCAACATGCTGCCAAGCCTGAATGAAATATAGGATAAGCTTCCTCCATAAGTTAATATTCCTGCAGCCATAACCACTTGTACAATAAATACAGAACCTGAACTTTTAATTTGTGAGAGTTGCGAGGAATGTCCAAACTTATAAGCTTGTGTGAGTGTATACATATATATATATGATTCAAAAAAGAAGTTCTGTGGGTCCGGTGCAAATATAGTTAAGAAATAAAGGAGCACACTTACGAAAATTTCATAGTTGTTTACTCTACGTTACGGCCGTGGCACGGCCGAAAGGTAGAGTTAACAAATATCAAATTTTCGCAAGTGTGCTTGTTTATTTCTCAACTATATATATATATATATATATATATAGTTGACAAGAAAATTTTCAATGGCACTGCCAACAACTGCACAAAAGAAAAAAAAATGCACAAGTTCACACTTCCAGAGGAGTCACTTTTATCTGACATCCCCTATGAGCTAGTATTAGGCCTGCTTTGAGAGATGGTGCCACAATGCCTGTAGACGCTTTTACCTGCATTGCAACACAGCTGCATACGTTAGGCAGTGTCCATGGTTTGTCCTACAAAGTGAAACAATGGTGCCCATGCAGAGCAGTGCATAGTGTGGCGTGTCGTAGTGAGGTGGGATGCGTCCTTGCGAACATGCAATACTACTATATGCATTTGAAGATTGTTACTTCTGCTATAGTTTCCAATGACTATGCTTTATGAGTAGTGATTTCATGATTTGTGTCTATATTGGAGAGCCAGCCACACTTTTATTACTACCTCAGACAACATGCGACTGTTGATGCACTGTTTGGCTGCTTTGTCGGCAAACAGCTCTATTTGCAACAGTTATTCACATAAAAATGCAACTGCTCAGCTAGAAGCAATAAAGGTAACAATTACTTTCAGGCACAGACAACCGAAAAGTATTAATTGACTGACTTTATGCAATGAAGCAGTTCCAATTACGTGGCATCAAAATAATGAGCACATAGCAGGCTAACCTAAAATAAAAAGTAAATTAGGACAAAATTGCATAAAGTTTCACACTATAATACCCAGAAGAGAATTTGATGCTAGTGTCCATGCAGGCTTTTTGAGTGGCGCTTGCGCCACCATGGGAATGATAAAAAGTACAGGCTTCAGATGGATTTCGTTTGCAATGCAACGCTTGTTAAGATTTTCAAAACAAAAGGTTATTACATTATATTCACTTAAAACTTACTTAAACTAAAACGTATTGCAGAACATTAAGTATAGCCTGAAACATTTTAACCATCAGGGTATGCATTGCTCTGTAACTGCGCTCCGGATATGGCATCACCAAATAATGAAATATTTTATTAAATCTCAACACATTTGTTTTTCACTTCAAAGCAAGCATCATCTATTTATATAAATAAAGATACTGCATTGGGCGAGAAACAGGTAACTTATTATCTGCTGCAATGAGAAATGCATTTGCATTGGTAATCTGCCTCCAACACATAAACAGAGGCAGAGGAGCGTGACGATGAGTCCATGTCAATTTGCAGCCGATTTGAATGACCTTCAACAAGATGCACTTATCAAAAAACATGAACTGTATGCAATTTACTGCACTGGCATGAGACGCTACATCTATGCACAGCAGTGAGTGCAAAAGACTTTAGTACAGCTGTTGAGTACAACTCGTAAAGCTGCAACGTCACAGCAAACCGAGAAACCTAGTAGTCTTCAGCCTGTTTCAACAACAAAAGCACCATTATTGAGTGCCTTGCACTGCACCCCGCTACGAAAAAAAAAATAAAACAAACTGCAGAAAAAAAACTGTAGACAGTTTGCTAGCTAATTGATTGATATGTGGGGTTTAACATCTCAAAACCACTATATATTTATGAGAGATGCCGTAGTGAAGGGCTTCGAAAATTTCGACCACCTCGGGTTCACCCAAATGCACCCAAATCTGAGCACACGGGCCTAAAACATTTCCGCCTCCATCGGAAATGTGTGCTCAGATTTGGGTGCACGTTAAAGAACCCCAGGTGGTCTAAATTTCCGGAGCCCTCCACAACGGCGTCTCTCATAATCATATAGTGGTTTTGGGACGTTAAACCTCACATATCAATCAATCCATCGGAAATGCACCTGCCGCAGCCGTCATTTGATCCCGCAACGTGCGGGTCAGCAGTCGAGTACCTTAGCCACTAGACCATTGCAGCGGGGCTTGCTAGCTAATTCAATCCAATTTGAAGCCTGTAAGCCTGCACTTCCCATCAATACCATGGTGGCTGAATAAGTGCAGCGCCAGTTTCAGCTCAAGGTTATTGTACGAAACTTTATGTGACCTCGAGTCTACTGCTCAGGCATTGCAGAGTAATGCCTCTCAAAAGGGCAACTCACCGAATAGCCTCAGCAGGTGAATGGCACCATATATTTGTGACATAGGAGTGTCCGGCCTTTCATTTAAAACCTGCGTGTACAATAGAACATTAACTCGGATCACAATCTACAATACCTACTGGGCACATGATTATGGAGCCCAAGCTAGCATCACTAAAGAAGTTTATGACATCCAATGTGACACAGTTAAACTCTTATTAAAAGCAATTAGCAATATAAAAGTCATCATTACTCATTTAGCTGCTTTAGCGGCAGTGGTATATTGCTGCAGAGTACTAAATGTTGCAGGTTCAATTCCCACCAGTGTGAACAGGTACTTCCCGAGGGGGCAGAATGCAAAATAAATGCATTTGTGAATCACAGCGCTACATACAGAGATTTAGTGCAGCTTTGGGAAGTTTAACAGCCAAATGAAATTATCTTCCTGCAGTTACTGCAGTTTAAACTGCTTGTTGTATGATGCAAAAACCATTACAAATATGAATATGTGTGAACAAAAGTCACACAATTTGCACAGAAAAAAAATTGGGGCACTTTTTCTTCACATGTAACATACACAGTGAAATATGAAAGTTGTGGAATAACGGCAATATTTAGTGTGCAAAAGCACATGCTACATGGCATTTGTGATCCCTGACTCCCTGTATATGTTAATGTACTTACCGTATTTACTCGATTCTACCGCGCCCTCGATTGTAACGCGCACCCGGTTTCCATGACAGAAAAAAAAAAGTAAGACATTGATTGCAACGCGCATCCATTTTTCTCGTTGGTTGGCCCGCACGATCACACTACTCGAGAAAACGGCTCGTTTCGCGAGCGTCTTCCGTTTAAATATGAGGTACGGGGGAAGCTTGGGCCTTTCTGACGTGCAACGGAGCATTGCCCGTCACTCTAGGTTTGCCGTGGCCCGATGTTGGCACGCGAACTTGCTTCACCCCCGTCTTCTCGACGGTTGTGGTGCCAGGCATGTCGAAATAAAGAGGCGTCTGATCGGCATTCCCGATTTGCCCAAGCAGGTAGCCGTTGTTGTGCCGCAACTTTTGGCATATGCCCGTTCGCCTTCAGAGGAAAAAGCCTTTCCTTTTCATAAAGTTAGCTAGCCAGCACCTGCTCGCTTTAAACTGGCTCCGCATTAGCCCTTTTTCTAAGGCTAACTGCACACCCTGCACTTGGAGCTGTTCTGTCGTCACGGGCCACTGTGCCGCTCACTGCTCAATCACATACTCGCCGAGCAGCTCTTTAATTTGCGGAAACCGATCCTGCTGTGGTCCGCTGAAGCCTTTGCGTGAATCTTTGCTGCCGACAATATTGTGCTTTTGTTTCTGTCAGTCCTGCACGCACATTTCGGAAACTCCGAACGACCGCGATGCGGCCCGATTTCCGTCCGTTTCGGCACACGCGATGACATTTCTTTTAAAAGCGGCATTGTGGTGCACTCGTCGAGTTTTTGGAGTCGGCCCTTCCATGCCGTCGATGCTAATGCACTACAAGATGACGAACTCCTCAGCATACGTACGAAGTGCCGCACATAGGAAACACATAGGCAGAAATGGCCGACGCACGTAGGGGGTGGCCATTTTGGAAATGCCGATGGCAATAGAATGACCGTATTCATTTTTTTTTCGTACTCGATTCTAACGCGCATGCGATTTATTAACTCGCTTAACCGGAAAAAAGGTGCGCGTTAGATTCGAGTAATTACGGTAATCTTTTTTCACTTTGTAGTGTTTAAGATATGCACATACAAATAGTGTTTAAGGTATGCACATACAAATGCATACTCACACGTACTAAAAGACGTCTGATATAAGCATTCAGTTTTCTTTAAAAATATGTGCACCAGTGTAGGCCATTTCTACAAGGATGAAAATCCTGCAGACTCAATGGGGTCACAGCGTGGTTGCCCACCAAATTGTGTTCTTCAGTGAAATACAGAAGTAGAAAATCTATTATGCCTGTACGTGTATGAAAAATGGCCTGTAGAAATATACTTCACTGCAAAATGAGCCATTGAAGTCACTGGCTATAATATAAACCCAGCCCATTATCGGCGACCGCCATTTTGCCATAGCGTGAGTGATGTCAAGTGACACACGGAGGGGAGCTATCGTGTTCTAACAAAGTTTCAGCAGCTGCAAACCGTTCAATTTTTCATGCCAAAATGAAGACGGCTCTAATATTGCCACTGCATGCACAGCTCACCACGAAGCAATATCATTAGCCAAATACAGACGTTTAAAAAAGAAGTGGCTTGTTACGTCATGGCTCGCAAAAACACCACTATTGTCATACTCTTGGGCCACTTGCATGTTTATAAAAATGCTCATTATAAATTAAGTTCTTGACCTACTGCACTGAAATTTTGCCAGCTTGTTTGTGAACACCCTAGTATTGACCTATATGACACAGATTATGAGCGAAAATTCGGTGTCAGGGCCCCTTTAACTAAAGTCAAATCCCCCTACAACGAAATTGATAGGACGTGTGAAAAAATTCGTAGTCACGGAATTTCGTTGTAGCAAAATTCATCTACAAACCACAAAATTTGGTAAGATCTGACGATGACTCGTCCTTTGGTCCCTTCAAGCGCATGCATTGAACTCTCGCCAACTCAGACGTGCCTGGCCGAGCACTAAGTGAACATATTTTTTCGCGTATAAACATGATCAAAAAATACATAAAAAAATTTGAGCTGAAGTTGGGGTGCGAATTTCACGAAAATTTCGGCACGCAAGTGGGCTTCACAGCACAGCTCACGGCAATGTAATGAAGGCAGCCTAGCGTCAATACGCGAGTAGTTTTTTCTTCCTCCCGTGGTTTGCGGCCGGGGATGCCAGTTACAAGCAGGGGTAGGTTGTACAGAAGAAAATGTGATATTCAGACGAGGCGTGCTGAGTGCACATCACTGCGAACGAGCGTGCCAAAGCTTAGCTAGAGACCAACTGTTAACTGCAATTAACTGTGATGAAGCTCCGCACTACCGTGGCCATAAGTGAACAACAGGAAAGCCATAACGCATCGTGTTGTCTAATGGCTTTATTGCCTTTAATCTATGGCTGTTTTAACTGCGCACCTTCAGATCATATTCGCTATCGATCAACAAGACGATAGCAGCCAACTTTGCACGGTTTCCTGCGCAGCGGTTCCGGCAAACAATACTAGCTCCGTTTTCAATCTGTGCGCGCTGTGCTGGCTGTGCACGTGACTTAACAACTGCGTTATTGCTATCTTTGTTCGCATCGTTACAGAAAGAAATATTGGGTTGAGTCGGTGCGTGTTGACTGCCCGCGTACTTTGTGGACGGCCATGATCGCGTTCGACACCACAGCATTTGTGTTTAAAGCAATTGCAGCAGAATGCAGTCACGCTGGGACTAAGTGCGCGCTGCTCGCGTGTGCGCCTTCATGTGGTGTGATTGTTATTCACGATCGCAGGGCTGGTGACGACAAGTAGTAGTTTAGTTTTGAGCACGACGTCAAAATATATGGCGGTGTTTCTTGGAGATCGCGATTATGCCGCAGCCCATACGTACTTGCATCAGATCTACCGGCAGCATCATGGTGGGTGAGCGAGCTGTCGCAGAGCATCTCAATGACAATAAATTTAGCAAGATGTGTGTGTGGTGGCAGAAAGTGTGTATGTGTTGAAAACACAGTTGTTGTGATACTGTCTTGCGCTCTGGGTGTCAGACGTCGAGAAATGGTCGAGTGGAATTTCGCGGCAATTGAGGCAAGCTTCTTTTTATTATGGGGTTGTACTCTGAAAACTTCGTTAAAGTGGAAATATCCAGGAAAGGTATTCGTTAAGACGAGCCATTTTTAACTTTGCTTTCTATGGGTGGCTGATGGGGAATCGAAAATCATTCATTATGGCGGAAATTGCTTAGTAGCGAAATTTATTATAGAGAGATTTGACTGTGATACTGCTCCAGTTGGTTCTTAAACACGCATTCTAGCATCCAGAGTCGTCCCTCACCAAACTCAAACACAGCACAAGAATAAAGAGGTCAGTAACAAAAATTAGGGTTTCAGCGGTAACTGAACCCAGGAATCCAGCATAGTAAAGCATTCTACCACAGTGTGCTGTTCCAAAGCGCTTTTCATAAGAAAAACCGAACAGAGGCGTCATTTCAGAAGTCTTGCTAGCAGCTTGACAGGTCTATAAATATTTGAAGTCCGCAAAACAAATACATCCTGGTAATGAAGATGTCTATATCTAGTGCACGCCATTCAGGCACTTCTGATTGTGTGGAAATGTGTTGAACTACTACAGTCAGACTCAACCCTGCCTTTTACAGCAGCTTTCTTGCTTGGGTGCCTCAATGATAACAATTTGTTCTATGCCGTAATATCACTGATTGTGCATTTCACTGACAAAGAAATTCAGATTTTCTACAAAGTGGCAGTTGCTATGGTAATGCTTTTTTTTTTAAGTTGCATCATCCCGCCGCCAGCTGACTGGTGCACACAAAGCATTGTCACTTTATCTGGTAAATTGCACCCCGCAAGGGTCCCCACTTAAAGTACTATATATCTTACAGCGTGGCCAAATATATTCCACCTAATAAACTTTGATCCCTCAGGATAAGATAGCCGAGTAGCACTATTTTAAGACAAGCCATCTACAAATTCTATTATTGGTGACTAAACTTACATCAGCATACTGAGGACGTTCAAACTTGTACAAAAGTTGGCTTCCTAGCATCACATTGAAGTATTCCTTGAGTCCATTTGTCACCTCGATGACGGCACTCTCCCTGTGTAAAGAGAAATAAGGGCTTTTCTACCTTTTTTTTTGCAGTTTTCTACAGAAGAAATCCTAAGTAGAGCAATACAGACTGTAATGGAAGTTTTTCAGTAATGATGCTTCAAGCAACAGTAAACACAAGAAAGTGCCACTGAATGTAACTTCTTTTGAAAAAAAAAAAAAAAAAGAGAGAGAGAGAGAAAGAAATCCAAGTGCGCTCGCTCTGTCAGGACAATGGGGGGCTAGCGAAGCTTAGTGTGTGTGTGTGTGTGTACCAAAAGTACTACTTTTCTTCACTTCTTTTCATCACATTGTGCAATGGTTCCTCCCAACTGTTTCCTTCCTCCGTGCTGGGAATTGGACTTTCATCCACGTACTTAGCAGCACAGCACTTTAGTTGCCACAGGCAACAAAAACGGTCATGCGCGCGCACCCACGCAACAATGAAATTTAACAATGTGAAATGACAAGTCACCTCACCAAAGATCAGATTGCTATACGAGAAATGGCTGGTCACTGACAAGCCGGTGCAACTTCAAAGGCCTCATTTCTTTGCCCTCATGGATGCCTGGTTACTTGCATAAAACCCCAAAATCTATTAGTTATCAAAGCTTCACATTGAATTTTTTTTAAATGTTCCAGTAGTGCAGCTATATTCCATTTATTGAAGCCCTCCTCATGCATAGACAAGTGCATAAATACCAGCACCAGTGTAAAAAGCCCCTAATTATTCAAGCAGCGATGGCCTGAGCTGCCACTAAGCATGAAAGAAAGTTTAAAAACACACAAGGACGCAGTGCTTGTGCAAGTTAAAAGAAGTATGAACGTGATATAGAGGTTTAATTTCAATGTGAACATTTTGTGTAATCCACGTGGCATGCATGCCAACCAAACCCACGATAATGCTCATGCACAATGGTAACCATTGGCTGCTTCCTGCACATATGTACTGATGCACCACAACGTGGACTCAAGAGAATACGCACACTAATTTGTGTGCCTTTTTTAATGGGTGGCCGGCTTTAAACCACGAAGCCGTTAAAATAATCACATGTTCTGATGCCCAATGGCAATATATGCTTGTATCATGCACTGCAAATGGATTCTTTTTTGCAACTCGTCTATTTCACTACGGATCTAGAAACGGGCACCTTGAAGTTCACTAGTTTCATTGAACAGAATATGGACGTGCCTGTAAGCTGGCTAGCTTCTATTTCAAGATTACAGTATGTATGCATAGTAAAACATCAGTGTTACAATCACAGCTTGTACCAATTTCGGTGTGGTACGAATTTTCTCGTGGTTCCGGTTAAGGCTTCTTAGCCTGCAGTGTAATGAAGTAGGGTTGTTGCCAACTGATTTTTACCCTGCGAAGTTTGATTCGAACATATGCTAGCATGCAGGTACGAACGGGTGCTGCCCGCGTGGTAGAGAAATATATGCGGCAATCACAGTGTGAGGGTGTGGGAAACGGAAGTGCGGGCTTGTGCAGTACGTTGTAGTCTCCAAGATCACGAGTGCGAATCTTGGAGGAGTAAATGTGCCTTTGCATTTAGATTACAGATTGCGTTAGCATTGTTTTTTTTTTCTTTTTCTTTTTTTAAATTTGTCAATTAGGGCTGCTATGCTCGATGCAACGTCATTGTACTACTGCGTTCACACACGCCTGTCGATGCAAGCCATGACCTTAAAATCAGACATCCTACGAAAGGTGAACAAGGACAGAAAGAAAAAGTGGATTTGCTTGGTGAAGTAGTTAGGCCTTGAAACATCAATGTGCTTCATTGTTGGGAACGCGCACACCTGCCAGCTTTCCGATTTGCACGGGACACTCTTGACAAACCTCCCGATTGTGCAGGCACGGCCGCAAATCTCCCGAAAAACATCTCCAATACCACCATAAGAAGTAGTGGTATTTTGTGAAAAATCCTTCCGACATGTGCTCATAAATAACACGGTACGCCAAGAATATTCACATTCATATTGTTGCTTTCAAGGCCCACTGGCATCTCTCAATTTCAACCTGTTGCAGCAATGTAGTTTTCCGTCACTGAATGAACACTTGCGAAACCACTTTAGCACGTAACCAATGATAACACACCCCATGGTAAAATGTAATGCCTTTGCCGGTCAGTATTTTTTTTTTCTTTTTAGTTTCAAACGAATAGTAGTGCCACATACAGGCACGTGTTAACCTTTCATGGCACACACGGGTGGATACAAGTTTTTGCGAAAAGGAATCAGCTTCTGGGATAACCTGTTATGTACTCTTATTTGAGCGCACACTGAAAGAAAAATTTTAGGACCCTTAAGCTTCGCCTTCAAGAGTTGAATGCAATAGCGTTATCCTGTACCGAGTGCATACTTCAACCACGTAATGCATACTTCTTATTGCATGATGTTACTACAAAAGTTTCAATTGTGGATGAATACAATGTAATTGATAAGGATGAAAGTGGCTTGAGTCAGTGAAGCTTTTGCATATGGCTGCATTCTGTGTAATGGGTGGCACACTTTAAACCACAAGCAATTATGCATGTCAAATGTTTTCGAACTTGCTATGCACCACAACGCGGACTCAAGAGAATACGCACTCTAATTTGTGTGCCTTTTGTAATAAGTGGCCGGCTTTAAACCACGAAGCCGTTAAAATAATCACATGTTCTGATGCCCAATGGCAATGTATGCTTGTATCATGCTATATTACTGCAATATTATGTCTTGTATTGTGAAGGCCGTATTCAGACCTCCCGTGTTTGTGAACAATTGAAGTTATTTTCACTGCATTTTCAAGCAGCAGAAGTTGTTTTCACTGTATTTCCAAGCAGATGCGTATCTGTGATGTAGAACACCTGCTTGCCATACAAACAGCCAGACTTCGATCCTTACTCGGACCCGATAATTTTTTTCTTTATTTTGCGATCACGGACAAGATTATTATTTTTTACTCACAAGCAATGATACCGGCACGGACACTGGAATTTTTGCAAAACGAGCTCTTGAACTCAATCGTGTTAAATGTAAGGGGAGGGCAGTCGAGGCCGCCCTTATGAACTTGGTAGTTATAGCACATGAATGCTTGAAAGTTTGCAGTTATTGATAAGCAACTACCTTGTTAAACTCCACAATAAAAAAATGGACCACGAACAATGCGCTCTCGGTTCACTGAGAATCGATGATGTGCATGAGCTACCTGACAAACATCTATAATTGTTATCACAATATAATAAAACACAGTAATGTTGTCAAAAGCAGCAGAAGCATGTGCAAGTAGTCCCAATGCAGCTTTGAAGCTCGTACACAAAGCCGGTTTGTCAGTGCCTGCAAGCACACAGCCCGAACACCGTCCAGTTCCGGCATGACACAAAAGAGTGTTCTCATACGAGTGCCAATGCTTTCACATACCACATCTATTACGAACAGCGAACGTAAACACCATGTTAGCCGTAAGCAGTGGCTGGAACAATGGAATGATCTAGCGCTTCTCGTCGGCCGCAAAGAAATGACATGGAGGTTATTTGCGAGCAAACCGTATTTCAAGCATCCCAGTATCATCTATTTGAACAAGACGGCACACGAAAATACGTTGGCATTGCAGTTTTTTACAGCCGCCACATGTCGATGCGTATGCTCTGTATGTATTCGTGCAGAGTGCGAGCACATATGGAGTGGAAATGTGCATGGCGGCCGCTAGATGGCAGCAAATTTTGCATAATGTCTTCACAGGGCAGTCAATAGAGAAACGAGCTACAGGCAAATAGAGTTATACACCACAGGTAAGCTAAAGTAAGGTTACTCACTTGTTAAATGAAATTCCTTTTACCGACGTCTTCTGTTTCACATAATCCGCGAGAATATGGTCCACAGTGACATTGCAGGGTAGCTGTACAAGCTGCATGCAAACACAGCAATCGCACATTTAACATCAGAACACCAATTACAAAAAAAAATAATCAAAGCATAGTCCATCAATTATTGATATTGATATGTGGGGTTTACTGTCCCAAAACAACCATATGATTATGAGAGACGCCGTAAAGAAGAGCTTCTGAAATTTCGACCACCTGGGGTTCCTTAATGTCCGCCCAAATCTGAGCATACGGGCCTACAGCATTTTTGCCTTTATCGAAAATGGATCCACTGCAGCCGGGATTCAATCCCGCGACCTGCAGGTCAGCAGCCGAGTACCTTAGCCACTAGACCACCGTGGCGGGGCACGGCATTATTATTAATGAAGAAAATTTTAAAAGGAACACTAATGACAGAACCTGGTATTCCAGACTAATTCTATTCATGTCACAGGCCTCTATAATATGCAAGCCTATACAGGCTACACAACACCCACATTCCACATTAATTCCAGATTCAAATGAGTCATTTTTAGCTATTAATATGAGCAGTGAAATACTATGTCTTTTTAATCTTCTTTATGTGATTGACACAGAGTATCAGGCTTTCAATGAAAGCTGTCCGATGCAGTAAAGTAATAAGCCATTACCTTTTTTTGTCTTGTGATAAGGTCCCAGTCATCTACAAGCCATGGCTTCAGTTCCTCTGGTATCCGCACCTTGATCTCTACTCGGGACAAGAACGCTTCCTCCTTTAGAGGAAAAATCCTTTAGCACAGCTACCATGAATCTATACATGCATTATAGTAATTATACACTTATGGCTCCATCAAAAATGTAGGCTAATGCTGCAACAACTTATCACAATGCAAAACACAACACATCCAAAATTAAATTTCACAATGGAGCTTCCACCCACCACTTGCAGGGCATGAACTGCGCACAGTTGCCCGCGAGGCTTTGTTTTTTTCTCGAGTGAAGAAACGTAATCTACATCTCAAAAAAAAAGTGTACAACCTCAGCTGTTGTCCCTAAAAAGTGCAACAGACAACCTACACTTGCTGACGCTGTGCGGCTGTCGAGTAAAATGCCCTCAACAATCCTCGCGTAGACGTCACCACATGCAATGTTTTGCACCGTGTACGTCTCTACATGTTCTTCAACAATTTTCAGGAGAGCAAGAAGACGGCTGCTAGGTACTTTCAAATAGCCCCTCGATTCTTGGAAAAATTCTTGGAACGGCGTTCGTGCGAAGCCTCGGTCTCTCTCGCTGAAGCGACACGACCACCCCGTTCACGATGTGCTCGTCGGTTCTCACAACGTCGCTAGCATCAAAATGCTTTTCGCACACCCGAAAGTTCTTACTTTCGAAGCTGAAACCACCAGCTTCAAACCGCGGTATAGCTCGCTTCCATTTCTCTCGGAGTTCGGCGCTACTTGGGAAACAGAAGAGCGACGCCTTTTCTTTGTTGCTTCGGTATCCGGAGCTGCAACCCGTCACACAGCACGTCTTAGGCATTGTTCATTCGAATTTTCCTGCCGTCCACCTTGAGCACGGTGCACTGGCACATGAAGTTCGCGTTTCGCTGATGCAGAAACCGCGAGCTGCCACCACACAACGCCTTCGGGATGCCGCCGCGGCCAGTGCGTTCCGCCGGGCGTAGCGTGGCGATGGCCCCCCTAGGACGGCTTGCGCCGCGTAGCGGCCGCTCTTGGCACCATATCAAGCTCTCCCATAGAGTGACGGAGAAGTTTCGTGACCAGAACGGTATTAAGGGACTGTGCTAACGTGCACGTGCGGCTTGGTCAGACGGTGCAGTATCTGGTCTCAATGCTTGCTTCCTTTTTCTATCTAGTTTTCTCTCTTCATGTCCACGGCTTTAAACTGCTATGGGACGCTATGCACGTTGGTCTCCATCACAGAACACAACTTTGCATGGCGTCACTCGAGCTATGCTCTGCATCCCATGGCTTCAGATTGCCATAAGACGCCATGCAGCGGTCTCCATCACAGAGCACGTGCTGTGCTCAGTCGTTGCTAGGCAACAAAGTGACTATTTTTTTTTTCAGCAACACTGCCATTGCTATGATTCGACAGTCGGTAGGGCACGTGCTAAGCTCGGCAGTTGCTAGCCAATGGCGCAGCAACTTGTTTAGCAACACCACTGCCATCTCTGTAATTTGATTTACAGCTTTGCTGTTACAATTCATCTTGGTTTAGAATTTAGCCCCCTAGGCATTACTAAGACACTTGCCTTACCACCTGAGCTAACAAGGCAAGCATATCACAGCGTAATGGCATATTGACAACTTCCAGCACATGATCATGAAACATCAAAAGAACAGCTCTGCAGTGGCCTGCTAGGCCAAGGAACATTTATGAAAAAGTTACTTTTTACCTCCACGAACCTCCTTTCCCCGTCGTGCTTTCTCATAACTGATTTTTCGAACAAGGCATTCTACGAGCAGAATAACCAAGTTACAAATATCCACGGTGTGTGGAGAAAATTTCACGCAATCCAAAAAAAAAAAAGGAGCAAAGTGAATAGCCTACGTATAATGCTCAATATATGACATGTGACATCATAACTTCAAATGCAACAAGTGGTATGTGGAACCGTTTGAGACAACCATGTTGTATTGCTGCAACCTAGCCACAAAAAGTGATGTAGACACTGATATAAGTGTATGAGCCAATAGTGTTCCCGACACAAGTAAACACAGGTATAGGCGTGCACCCGACTATAGGTGCTACTTAAACCTAAATTAGTGTTTCTATTCCATGAGAACTGTGCAAAGCAGACAAAAGAGCCTTAACACATACCTTTCTGTTTCTGGGGCTTTTCTAAGGACGGAGTTGTACAGCGTTCCCTCTCTACCTCTTTTTTTGGTTTAGTAGATTTGTTCTTTTTCCCCTTTCTGGAAAGCAATGCAGAACGTTGGTAAACATGAACCTTCATTTTTCTTTTCTTTTTGGCAGTCCGTTGTTATTCACTGTCGACGAGATCTGAAAGTTTTACCTGTATTGAAGCCCTTATACCTCCATGAGTTGTGAAGTGTAGCTGTCTTGAAATTTAGCTTATCAAAAGTATGCACATTAATAAAAACTACACAAAACTGTTTAGCTCGTTGGAGGGTACACCTTACTAACAAAGGTTGTGTCGAAGGGTATAGGTTGCATAAGAACGACACATCTTCATTCCATTGTCGTGTGTAACTCAGATAATTGCCACGTGTGTTAAATTAGACTCTTGCATCCACTACTTTCAGGTCTTGGAAAATGTTTTGCAAATCGGTGTTAGCAGCAAGGTGTCACTCATCCTAGTCTTGCCATCCTCGCTAATAACACTGATCAAGAAAAAAATTTCTAGCTCCTGAAAGTAGTGGACGCACGAGTTTTAGTTAGCACTCATGTCAATTTTCTGAGTCATCAGAGCGATGAATTGGGCTAATTGATTTCTTTTTGCACTCCGAATGATGAGACTAGGGTAAAAAAGCGAATGCAAAATAGGTGGTGCGCAAACTCACAACTGGTTTATTCACATCTTGCAAAGTGTTAAATATAGGTTAACAATCTGATATGATAGATGGGGTCATCACAAAAAAACTAAATAAAGGTAAACAAAGATAATGCACACATCTTGCATATGCCATCATAAGCACAGACAAACTTTCCGCATATGTCACTTTCAACAAATTTTATTTCTGCCAGTTTTAAGAGCGATAAGAGTGTACTGATACATTCCTGTTTTGCAGCTATGATAAAAAGGGCTTTTCTTTATCTCCCTAACGTCTTCACCACCACCATGGGCTAACTATGTGGTGACCCAGAAATTGTGGAAAATTTCAAGAATGTGACATACACAATGGCATTTGCCATATGCGTGAATTATCTTTGTTTACATTTAGTCTTTTTGTGATGTGCTGCCCTCCACCTCATCCATCCTACCTGACACTTTGCAAAATGTGAATAAACCACTTGTGGGTTCGTGCACCACCTGTCCTGTAGTCCCTTTCTCATCCTCATCTGCAGCACAACACTAAATCATGAAGCAGCGAGGTGTATGCAAAAATTTTAAATTCTGCTTTTTGTTCTATGCAATATGTTGGCTGCCACAGCTCATTTCTACGGAGATGAGTGACATAGATGCTACATTTTCGTGATGAAATTAACATGTTCTTATTTCTAATACAGCACTTGTGTCATATTAGAAAGAGCGTGCTCACATATGGAACAAGAGGCCTGAGCAATTAGTTACTGTAGGTACACAACAGTTTAAGTAAACACAGGGATTAAAATAGAGAGCAACTACCTCCCTCTGATGGTTGGTGCTTAGTAAAGCATATGGTTTGTAATTGTTACTGTTGTCTTAACATTCAGCATTGTTCTGCCACTTGACAGAATGCACATACATGGCAAAGCTTATATTGGCTTTTATTGCGAATTTGTGCAAGTTATGCTGAACAAGACATAAATCGGAAAAGGCTGAAGCAAGAAAAAAAAAATAAAACACTAAGAAAGAGGAGGGCAAGAAAAGCACGGCCTTGGTGGGAATGCAGAGTGCTTGGAACATTGCAACGAGAGCACCGTATGGCACAACATGACTTTGCATCACCGAGTGAATCGCAATGCACAGCTGTGGACAGACTAAATGCAAAGCAGAAAAAATTACACAGTAGAATGCCTTCTGTGAGCGATACGCTGAGGGCATAATCATGCACTGCTGCTTGTCCAGCTGCCAATGATAATATACGAGTCAGACTAAGCATACAAGCAGAGCCATACTGAATGCACCACAGAAATGCACGCAAGAAAAATACACCACAAATCCTCGTCTCGTGTTCCACACTCATCATGAACAAGTACCAATTCGCCTAACTGTCAGTACTCCCAATACAAGCTGGACTCCACACCTATTGGAGTGCGGCCATGACTGCTGGTATCCAGTGTCCACAGCACTGCTCTGTAATGCAATGCCACTGGGGTCATATCAAACTAGTTCTCACATTTAACATGTCCACAACTGCACATATGCCCTCTACAATTATGAGTGTGTGAGTTTTTGCAGGCACAACTGAACTTGTCACTTTGGTATCTAATTCTTTGAAAGAAGGGCCCAAGCCAAATTCTGTCAGTATGTCCGCATTATTATGACAAGCAGACGAAAGCTACGTTGACATGAAATTTTACAATACCTCACGACATCGCTTAAGTAATTCATTCTAACATGCACAAACTTTCAGCATGCACTCTTAACTTTAGGAACTTTTTACGAGTGTCTACCAATACAAGCTCTAAATATAAGCTATTCTAAATTAGATGTAGCAATAATCTTACAGGAACTTAAATTATAGATCAACTGAACTCGATTGCTAAATTATGTGAGCTGGCAACCAAATATTTTCTTTGTGCCCTCCTTGGTTTTCATGTAAGAGAGACAATGAGATACAATTGATGACAGTTGAAGCCTTTGATGAAAAATTGATTCTCCCAGGTAAAAGGTGGGGGGACGAGAGACTCTAGAATGATTTCGACCACCTGGGGTCCTTTAATGTGCACCCGATGCAGTGCAATGATACATGCGCATTGCAACACATTCAATGCCGTGGAAATGCAACTGCTGTGGCCACCCTATATGAATGATTTGCTAGGAGAACAAGCACTTGCAGATGCAATTACTTTTAAAAACCATTAAATTACTGGACACCACCTCGCACCTTGTTGCAGACACGTCTAATGGCATGATGTATCTATGTGGGTGCATCTCATTAGGCCTTAAGATAGCAAAACCGCCAAATGGCCTCAGAAATAAGTGATGTTCCTTGCCAGCTTCGAGGAAGTGAAAACTCATAACACCTCCAAGAGACCAACATTAGTGAGAACACAGCAGGTTCGAGAATTAGCGCTGAAGCTCAATTTTTTATCATGTGCCATGTGACGTTATTTTTCAGCATCAATAAACATTACGCATGTTAAACTCCCCATGCGGCACAAAGGAAACAGAAAAGCCAAATGACATACAAAGAATGCTCAGAGAAGTGAACAATATTCTTGGGTGCGGAAAACACAACGTGAAAACTGTGTGTTAACTTAATCAATTTGGAAAATCTCTTTATCACCTTGATCTTCACATCCTGTTTTGTTTGCACTACAGAATAAATATTGCTCTTACAGTCAAAACATCTACACCTCCAGGCAGGTAGCTAAAGTTGAAGACTGGGCTTGTTAGTGGAGCGTGACAGCATATTGTAGAGCGCAACTGATTATCGGGACACAAGAAAGATGTACATACAACAAAGTGCTTCATTAAGTGCTTTGTTATGCATCTTAATTGTTTCATGTCGATCAGTTGCGCTATGCAATCTACAGGCAAGTGCACAAGACAGCCCCTGCAGCTCTCCTGCTCACACACATGGCTTTCGTGAAATATTGATGCTAATATTTTCATTGCGGTAGGTGTGCCTGACACTGAAATTTAGAGCTTGTATTGGCATCTCAGAAGCAGACTATAGCAAGGCAAAGTGGGCAGCCAGCTAGCAAGGGTGACTGCGAATGGAGTGAGGGGGAGGGTGGTACTTACAAAGCAGAGTGCGAATGAGAGGCTGAGGACCTGAGCAACCCGAGAAACAAAAAAACACGCACACATACACACAATGATGGGGTGAAAAAGCCCTATGACCGAAAAACAAAAAGCAACAAAACACACAACAATGCACATTTAAGCTCAGTGATAACACTAATGCTGAGCCAGAATGGGTGTGCAAGTGTCTGCACTACTTCTAGTAAGCTGCCACTTGCAACCTTGTCAATTTTCCAAGCTTGTAAAGTGCACTACAAGTCAGTAGTCACAGAATACATAGTGAGCAATTTATTGACGTGTTAGTTGCAGCCAAATGCTAACCGCAGCCAAACCATAGTTATCCCGCAACCATAGTTGCACAAGGAAACTGAGCACCAGTTACTAAATTAACACACTTATGAAGTTCCAAATGATCTAGCCCCACAGCTAAGTCCAGGAACCTAGTCAAATTTTTTTTCCAGTTTCAATAAAGAGGAAATATTTTTGGTTTTAGAAATATACAGCAAAGTATTTAACTCTGTGCTGTTTTATTTTATTGATAATAATCCTCTGCACAAACTGAGCCTTTTATTGACTAGTAAATGTCGCCATATTCCACTGACTAAATACTGAATTTATCAGCAAGGTGGCAAGTTGGGCTAGTTGGATAATGTTCATGATTGAAAATTTTTGTTGAAGCGCACTGAAGACAGATGGAAAATTTTCAATCATGAATTTATCACAATTGCTTAGTGTGCAAGTGCATAAACAAGTAAAATTAGTAAATGCTCAGGAGCCATGGATGCTGTAATGGGTTCTCATGTACAGTCTCTTTCACACTCAGGGGAAATCTCAGTGGGCATTGCGTTGTGATGCGACCAGCACTGCAGACGCGTGCCATCAGCAGCTCGTGCAAGCTCAGACACTTGAGGGGCGGGCTACTGAACCGCATTGTCTGCAACAGCGGTGCGCGCTGGCCACGATGTCGGGCAGCCTGCCGATTTCATCACTGCTGTGGGAACTAGGCCGATATTCTGTATTAAACGTTGTGCGATGCCAACCTCTCAGCCTTCATTGGCAATAATGGGGTTCCAGAAACAGGGTTTCACAGCATATGCTGCATGCTTTTTCATAACGCCATGGTACCGAGTGCATTCACGAATATTTTTTTCTTTGTGTGTGAACCACAGTATGCTGCAACGGAGAATACCATGATAAGCACATACCGCGCGTGGCATTTATTTAATGCCAAAAAAGAAAACGAAGCACTCGACAGTGACTGCCGTGCAGCTATGCGCCTTCAACACAGTAAAACAAATGAGAATGAGTTTAAGAATGCTGTAGGTTGAAGAAACCAACTGAATGTGCTTCTACTAACTGACATTTTATTACTTGAGGCAGCACTCACTTGCCGGCGCCGAAACGCACGCATGAAGCTTCGAACTTCCCTCAATACCCCAACATGACCCCAACGGAAGCGATGTCAGCACTCATTTTGGACAGTAGTGAGGGGTACTGTGACATGATGAGAAATATCAGCCCAGTTCCAGCAGCAACGCTGAAATTCACCCACTACCTGACAATGCAGCCAGCACGCGCTGCCGTAGCCAGCAACGCGGTTCAAATGTTCAACACAATGTCCCTCAAGCGTCTGTGCACGCGTGAGCTGCTTACGGCGCACGACTTCCAACGCGATGCTACGCACAACGAGATTTCCCCCAAGTGTGAAACAGACTGTACACTTGATCACATGCACACTAGATCAAACTTAATCTATAGCCTAAATTTAGTGACGGTGTCAATGCAATCTGAATAAAATATTTGTGTACGTATGATTATTCTACATTTTTTCTATGTACCTGCACCAAGATGTGCTTCATGTTGTAGTAAAAGTACATCATAGAAGGCATTTGTGCGTTTCCCACAAGTATTCCCTGGCTGCTAGCATGGCACATGCAGGCGTAAAACTGCACAATTCTAAGTTCCTTTGGTTAATGTTAATTAAACTCAGCTGCGGTCATCAGAAAGCATTTCTGCAGTGTGCCTTAGATTATGTGCCACAATACTGTGAGTTTGCTATGAAAGAGCATTGCTGGTAAAAGCCTACTATTGGCAAATCTACCCCAAAAGTACTACTATTTGCAAAGCCCCACAAAAAAAAAGTGCAATATTTATAGCGAAGAATGCAAGAGTCTACACTAGTCATGCTAATACATGCCAATAACAGTCCCACATGTGACCAAGATTAGCATGGCATGGACTTACAGTGTCACGCCACTAATATGACATAACAAGATGCAAATAGCCATTAGGACAACATTCTAACAGTAGTATAGTAATTTTACGAGTGCACAAAAGCACCCATGTACTGAAAGAAAACAACACAAAAATTTTGCACCTTCTTCTTCTTTTATTAGTAGTATCATTTTTTGCAATAGACAGCTTACAGCGCACTTATCACGGTTGGAAACCTCATTTTCATGAGTGTGAGCATTTATTTAGAGATAGTTTTTAGAGTGCCCAGTCGCAGAGCACCGAGCTAGGCAGCAGCTGTTCCAGCAGCAAGGTAAACACAGCTGATCATGTGACCACGCAAGACAGTGACCTGGGCGCTGCGCTGACAGCCAGCCCATGCAAAGATGCAGGCGCGGAGGAAGAAAATCGCAGGTAGCGCAAGCAACCATCCAATACAAACTTGTGACATAGGTTTGTATACATTGCTGCCACATTGATGTTGGCATCGTGAGGAGATCAGCATCTCACTCAGTCATGCAGCATGCAATTTAAGATTGATTTTAAATATGTTCTAAACTGTATTTGTCCTTGTCATTACATAGATATTGTGTATGTCTCCCCATAAATCTATATCACTCATTATCTTGCCTTCAAAATTTTGTGTCAGTGCTCTTTTAAGAGATTGCTGGCTTCACAATAACTGCAAATGAGATACTCAACCCTTTGCGATACAAGTGGTGAAAGCTTACTATAAGTACCATTTCATAAAGCCTTTTAACTCTGAACATAATCACAGAAGTTCTTGGAATGTAGACACAGAAGAAAAGGACAAGCACTTTGCATTGAATGCACGAAGCCCACAGTTCTGTACCACATTTACCACTTTTGCCGTGGACTGATGTAATGCTTCCACATTTTGTGGTATACAGTAGTCCTGACAAAATATTTCGCAGCTTCTGCGTACTACAAAGTTCTGCCACTGGCTGTACATACTCGAGCAATGTTTCAAGAACTGTAAATTCACTAGTTATAAAAGCATGATTACAAAAGTCCTGGTGATGCTAGTCCCTATAAATGCCCCTTAGAGGGATGCTGAATCCATGTAATAAACCAATTCAGACCACTAAATTACTTTTTTGGAAAATCTGCGGTTAATCTTTTCATAGTGGTTTCTGTACAAGAAAAGAAAATGAAAGTCAAAGCTTGACTTTTTGAAGCAAAGTGTCGGTATGGTCCAGTTGGTATTCCGTTCCGAGAGTGATTACAGTGCAAGGGAAGACACAGAAAAACGACCAACGAAGACTTTTAAAATTGGGGCATATGCTTCGGCACATAATTACACATGCACTACTCCTTGAAAAGGATCGTTCGCTTTATAACACTACAAAATAATCGAGAGCACTCAGAGTTAATTAATTAAAGCTGAAGTCACGGAGCAAGGTATTGGTATGTCGAAATCTATTATATATAAATGTATTCAGTGGACATTTGTGCGAAACAAAAAACTGCCTGAACTAAATTTTGCTGCCATTAAATCTGGCCCTGAAACTTTGGCCCTTAGTAGATACTCAGTGAGGTGTAACAGACATACAACTGTACGTACTAGTCAGCACAAGCAGAGTGATTTGAAGGGATGCACAGGTGCACATATCGGAACCACTATATAACCCATCAAATGCAGCTGGCAAACAAAAGTGGTGTATATAGCAGCTTTCAGCGTATGTGCTTTTTACAGGGAGTTTAGATGTTCAGCCGAATACGGCACGCATGCACTAACATCTGCAAGCACACTGCAAAATAGGCAGAACATGCTTCCTGCACGTAAGGCAACGCAATATAGTAGCAAAAAACAACGCAATGCTTACAGGTGTGCCTTCTCGAGTTCCTTTTGCTTTTGGAGATTAACATCATTGAACTTGAGTACACGGCTTTCAGGAACCCACTCGTCCCAACTGAAATTGTGATAGAGTCAGGTAAATGCTGGTGAGTGATTTGATGTGTTTTATGCCGGAAATATACTGATGCTTTTATGAAAAAAAAAAAAAAAGAGGATTATCAAGGTATAGGGCAACCAAGAAAAATGATACATAAAATATAGCAAAGGCGTCTTAGCGATGTTCTGCTTTCACACATGCTGCAAGATCCAGGTGGTTGTGTTACTGACACTCCTATGTCTGTTTGAGACTGCAAATGCTTCACAATGAGCAGTGGAAGTGTTTATCTACAGGCATGTCTATTCATATGCTTCCTTCAGTATATCCGAGTGTTCGACTTCCAACATTATAAGTTATATCCGACGCATGTTTTTGTATGCAGGGCCGCCGTCTACTAACTCTTCTGGATGGCCTCATAAGACTGCATTGCTGAGTGTTCGCGGTGATGGCTTATCGAAGATTACAGCATGTGACAGCATGTTCTCATTGACACCCTTGTCACACAACCGCTTTGGAGTCTCATCGCAGACTGCATTGATGGCTCTTTTTTTTTTTCATTTTAGATTTGATAAACCAAACCGCCCCTCTTCAAGTAAACTACAATGTAGAACGTTCGTGTCTTCCCGACTGCTTCAGGGTAAATGTGGATGCTATTTACAACGTCGGGATCGCCTGGATGGCGCAAGCCACGTGAATGAGTGACTACAACTTTACAACAGTCAAATTTTCCATTGTGGCTGCAGCCTAAGAACGCACAGCCTATCGGATAAAAAAGAAAGCAATATCGAGGCAGGGTCGGTCCGAATGGAATGCGATGCGCGCGTCTCTCTCCCTGCATAAGTAGGCGGATTGTGACCGTACTACACGGGGTCCGCGCGCAGTGCAACAAACGCAGCTCCATCTCCAGTGTAGGCGCTGAGGTTGCACTGGACCATTGTAAACTTGTACTCACTCACGTGGCTTGCGCAAGAGGCTGGTCCTATGTTATCGATCGTGAGTGTTCTTACTTTTTGTTCCAGCCACTGTAGTGAATAAAGTACTTGGTTTGCTTGTCTTTAACCTGGGCCTTGATGCACTGTAACAGAAATCAAACGAAGGGCGTGGCTCCTATGATGTAGATCAAAAGGCCAGCAGACGTAAAAAGCACTCACCTTTGCTTCGTACAACAGAGGCCCGTGAAAGCACAGAACCTTCTCACCTAGAAAAGAAAAAGAAAGGTCAACAAGTATTAAAGCCCACTGCTGCGCTCAACAACTGAGAGGTACGACACAATAAAAAAAAAAGTAACGCGGCGATCTTGCGGGAACGTCGCATACAACAGTGCCGCCAAAAATAATAAAAAACTTAGCTAACAATTCACATCCGAGCTTGAAGAACTTATACGGAGACCAAGTCATCCTCAGTATGACAAAGGTAGCTCGCCACAGCTCTGCGCAAGGCTGGAAACGGTTCCATGCCGACAAATAACGACAACTTAAGAAATAACTGGTTCTCTTACCATCTTGAAACCTAGCTTTCGGCGCCATGTTGTTAACCGACAGAATAGTATATTATTCTAGAACACTGTAAGAATAGAGACGATACATAAAACTTGCTGGAGTGGAAGCCGCCTATGCGCCGCTACGGGAGAGAGGTGGAACTGGTAGGTGTTCTGTGGTGAAGCCGCGCCGAGCGTGCGGCGGCCATGTTGCCAGTGGCAGAAAAGAGCCGAGCGCTTCAAATTTATGCTTCATCGCGCTGCGGGTGAAGTGACTCGTGTGTTTATTGAGCAACGAAAACAAGTAATTGCACGTTAAAGAACCCCAGTTGGTCAAAATTTCCGGAGCCCTCCACTACGGCGTCTCTCATAATCAAATAGTGGTTTTGGGACGTTAAACCCCACAAATCAAACAAAACAAGTAATTCTGGTTGTAAATGTTTATTGTGACTTGTACGCAGCCAAGTGGCATGTAGAGAACTCAATTAAAGTGCATATGCATTAAATAGCGATGCCTATAAGCAAACACATCATCGAAAACATAGCTGCCCTACTGGTGGTTGAAAATCATTGCCCTTGTCAAAAGTGGTCCCACCTTACTTTTGACCGATTTTCGTTTTTTTTTTTTCCTTCGTCATGTGTTGTATCCTCACTTTTACGTATTGTTCGGCGATTTGCCTGCACAAACTGTAAACCTGATTATCAAGCGTATGAAAGTCTAGGACGTGTTGCTCTAGTTTATGGAACCAGTTTTTCTCGGAGGAAGCTCATAGAACTTTCAGGATGAGGTGTTTTGCTCTTGACTTCACCGTTGTGATGGAATCACATTCAGCCTATAGCCGCCTCAGTCCTCGACTTCTTTACAGAGGCTAATGACATCTCGCGACGGTGAAACAAGACCACCTCGCCTCTTACATTTAATTAAAGGTGTCAGCTCATTTGAGTGCATGGCTGCTATGCACTTTTCACAGGTAGTTGCAGTTCGACCTGTCGAACAATGAAGCCTGCTATGTATGGCACCACGGAACCGACAAAAACAGAAAAGCTTTCGGGCTAGTCAATGCGATGTGTATTGTCGTGATCATCGGGCTGCAGGACTGGGGCCTTAATTGCGCATGTCAGTGAGATTGCTTCTTGGATCTACCATGACTGCAGGAGTCGTTGCATTCAATACGGAGAGAACATCTTGGGAGCAGTGTCCAGAACTTGAAGACGTGACTTCCGTCTGAACCAATAGACGCTTGTATGCAGCCATAAACTGCGAAGCTGTTGGGTTGTTATGGCCGCATCATCCACTTATTGATTCAAAGAATTTTTGGGCATAGTCTTGACTGAGTTTGTGTGTCAGTAAGTATTTCAGCTGACCCTGGCTGACAAGTCTGTCAAACGTTCTTTCCGTGCTTGCCATGCGTATCCAAAAACCAATGAATCCGTTTTTTTTTTTTTTTTTCAGTCCTTCTTTCACTGCCGGATTTCTCAGCCCGTTTATGTACGCTCGAGTCTCCGCTAAAAAACGACTTCCAGAATGCTTCGTTCCCCTGCCAAAGGGGCGCTTTGTACGACCTTGCCAGCGGGTTCCTGGAGTTTAAGATGTCAAACAAGCGATCAAAAGTTCTAATAAACGTAGATCCTGCGCTGGCACCCTTGAATTGCGGCAGCTTTAGCTTTCGTTCGCAGAAGTCCAAAGCGTCGGCAATTGAGGCACTCGATCAGTTGTACAGCATATCATACTTTCATTTTCTTGCTTTTCTCATTGGACGTGGACTTTCGTAAGTTTGTTTCCGAGCCACAACCTTTCTTCACGTTGAAGTTCCTTCAATGCCACTTCATAACCCCATTTCACATGCTTCCCTTCAATGTCAAAGAGGTGGTCAAAGCACTCTGGCGCGAAGGGCACAGAGCGAAGTGTTCTCAGTCTTTCGCATTCTACTTCTCACGGCGAACGGCCCACTCCCAGAGTCAATGAGGGTGGCGATTTGGGCTTGTTGGTATGGTTGCATGATGATGGATGGTAGCGCAGACAACAAACACGGACAAGCCTTCTCTTGTCCGTGTTTGTTGTCTGCGCTACCATCCATCATCACACTCCCAGAGGCTCCGCGTTACGGGATCTTTAGGAAACCTGTAAAACAAATCTGAACTGTTATGTTTTGCACGCTTAGATCGCGTCAGCTATAGGGGAGACCCACGCCGAGGGAGGCGCTGCAGAGCCTGGCGCTGTTTACTCGAGTGTTTACCCTTTCGCTGTCCCCTTCAACCTGCCTTGAAAACGCGTTGCTTTGCTCGCACGCCGCACGCGTTCTGCACGTGTTTTTGAGAGTTTCGCGTCACGCGCGGTTATGGTGTATACGCTTCTGCCCGCGTTTAATAGGATCGCCGGAATTGAGGATTTTTTTTTTTTCGCGGGAGCAATTTGATAAAAGGGCAGCGTCTGCTCAGCCATGTAGCCGATGTGAAGCAAATTACCGGTGGGTGCGAGAGGCGTCTCTAGCAATTCTAAATCACTTGAAAGCGTGACATCGAGCAAAACAGAGTTCTCTTCATCTTGCATTGCTGGGTCATCTTGAGCAATACCTTGCGGCACAGCCTGCTCCACGGAATTTCGTGCTGATCTGGCTGGCCTCACAGAATGACGCTTCTACCAAAGCAAAATAAGGTGGTGGCAAAGATTAGATCGTGCCGTTCACAACAACGTTCATACGTTGGAGTTTTTTTTTTTTTTGTTCAGATATTGTATGGTGATCAACATTGAGCATATCTGTAGTGCGCCAGATATTAATATTTTTTATCATCTTCAAGTATAAAATGTACAAGAAGTCTGAAAATGAGTATACGTTTAAGGGTTTTCCGTGATCTTGTTAGTAACGCCTTACATTGGATGGATGGATGAAAAACTTTTATTGGGGTCCTGAAGGATTCCACCCCCGTTTTATAGGGGTAGAATACGCCTTACATTCAGCAAATAAAACAAGTACTGCATATGAAATCAAACTCTATGAAAACATGTACGATGGCAAAATGCCCCATTAAAAAACACTAGCAATTGTGTCCATCTGTGTGCACAGAAACATTTTATACGAGAACTTCATGGAAATAGCTACGTATGAAAACTTATTGATTAAACATTTTTGCATTCTCTGTTGCTTGAATCATTTTTACTTTGTATGAAAACTATCAAAAAAGCAATGTGCCTATTACTAACCGCGTTCCAATCTTACTCTTAAAATGTGGTGGTGTGAAAGTGTCATGTTTGATCAAAATCCTATTTTAGCTTTACTTGATAATTGCGCATACGCGGAACGAATTCTCGCTGAGCTTGAAATGAGGAATCAAAAGTCATCAGAAAATGGTTTGAAATGCATAAATAGTTATGCGCAGCACTGCCTATCATACCTCGGCGCCGTTTCTGCTTGAGGTGCCCGTTTATTGTAAGCCGCATGAAACACTGTCAGCACATATTAAGGTGCAGACTTGAGTCATTTTTGCAGTTTCCCACAAAATGTCTGCTACAAATCATTCTCCAAGCTTTTGGCAACCACACACTTCCGTCAGCGCTGCGTAGATATAAAAAATATATAACCACACGCCACCAATACCACATGTGTACACAGCTTCAACTACTACGTCGCCAACAATATCGAATAATAGAAGCAGCATAAAATATTTCTTCGCAATTTTTCAACAGTGCTCTAAAGACGGATGTTGAAAATTTATACTTTTAAGATGGGGACGTGCATATCCTAGTAACTCGTTAGATTAGAGGAACGGTGACGCAGGAATTAACACCCGTTATTTTCAATGCATTGTGCTCCTGCTAATTTTTATGAAAAAATTGTTTACTTGCTTTTTTCAGTGCACTGCTTTAATCCATTCCCATCGTCTGCTTGTTTCGTACCATTGGTTTGGGAATCGGTAGAATTTCACTGGTGGAGTCAACCCCTTCATGTTTGCATAGTTATTGTGATAGTTGGCGACGCATTAATAGTTCCCCCTTTTCTGTTGGGTTGACATCGCGGAACGAGGAACGTTTCACGAGCAGCGCGCGCTTCGCAAATACGTGGAAGCTAAAGGGAGCGGAAGGGTCGGAAGACTCTCCTATTGTGCGCTTTTTCTGGAAGGGGAAAGGCAAGCGCTGGCGTCGCCGGGCAAACTTCAGCGGGTCTCTCCTATAGCTTCCTTTAGAAACGAGCGCGGAATGGCTATGTCTACTATTCTAGTACACTGTAGCTATGTCGAAGCCGTTTTCGTGTACGTACAGGTGGAATGTGAGGCCACAACCTTTTTTCAACCTGTTGGAGCATCCGTAAACGACGCAAGAGGCAACCATTGTAAACCATTTGTTTTTACATGCCGACAAGGTGAAACAAGAACGAACGAAATCAGCAGCTCGCGATGGCACTGAGCACGCTTTTTGCCACTGGCAAGATGGCGGCGGCTGGATTCACTCGCACAGCGCCCCTTCCACTCCAGCAAGTTTTATGTATCCTCCTTGGACGAGACCTTCCAACTTACACAAAGTTTACAATGTTGGCAGCAAAAAATTGATGCACAATGTTGCCCACTAAAGAGCAGCTCTCGTTTTGCGCATGCGCAAGAAATTTGGGGACGTTTGCGTCATAGCAACGCCTCCTCTAAACAATGCCTGGGGAATGGCTCGCGCTCCCAGCGGAGTTGCCTGCCTTCAGTTTTGAGCAAGCGCCGCGCGGTAGTGCTCGCGACAGAGACTATTAGTGAACACGCAAACTTTTGTAGTAGAGCTTAGACCTTCTTTTTTTTTCGTAGTGCAGGGCTCGAGTTTAGTAATTATCGAGTATAGAGACAATTGGTGTCAGAAAAACATGGTTAAAAAGACTGTAAAGTCTTCAGGATGTGGAGTCGGTTTAAAAGTGGACCCAAGCGTAGAAGCGGATGGAGAAGAGGCTGACGCGAAGTGTAGGCAATGTGAGGTCGAGGAAAAAATGGAGAAAATGACGGTTGCCCAGAGTGAACTGCTGATGAGAATCGCCGAGCTCGAGACTGCGTTGGCGACAGAGCAAGAGAAAACGAGGGCAATGGGAGAAAGACTGAAGTCAGCCGAGGAAGCACTAGCGAAGCTCAACAAAGAAGCGGCCTACAGAGAAAACAGTAGGGAACCGGCAACCAGAACGGTGGAGAAGAAAGAGCAAGCAAGTTTGAAAAAATCAGGTTTAGCCAGTTCAATTGTCCCA